CACACACACACACACACACACACACACACACACACACACACACACACACACACACACATTCGTTCTCTCTCTCACACACACAGTCACACACACACACAATCGTTCTCTCTCTCACACACACAGTCACACACACACACTTTCACGCACAATGCAGATGTACACACTTTCAATATCCCTCCCACACACAGACACACACACACACTGCGCACCCCCCCAGGACGTGTCCCACCAGGAGCTGGTGCGCGCGCTGCGCGTGGAAGCTGCCAAGGAGGGCAGCAAGGCGCGGCAGGGCTTTGAGCTGGCGGCGCGGGAGCTGGCGGCGAAGCACGAGCGGCGGCTAAAGATGGCGCGGGACGAGATGGAGCTGCGGCGCAAGCACGAGCTGCACGAGGTGGGGGCTGACAGGGTTTAGGGTTTGAGGCAGGATGGTGGTCAGGTCGGGGTTGTGGGGTTGAGGGATTACGGTGTTGGGGTTTAGAGGGAGTCATTAGTTTATGATGACTTACTACCTAGGAGGTCCAGAAAGGGACGTGCGGAGCGCGTGGGGTCTTAGTGGGCTTGACCGCACGGGAAGGGCGTTCTCCAGCGAGCTCTGCCCTGTGCTGCTGCCAGCTCTGCCCTGCGCTGCAAAAATTCGGTACGCGAGGCCAATCCACCATCCCCGAACACACATGTTTTCCAACGCTGCCATGTCGCATACTGCACTCGCCCGCAATGCTGGCTCCTGCGTAACAGGGCGAAATTCACCCCACTTCTCCCACGGGTTGCCACCCTCTGTGTTCAGGTGGAGGAGCGCAAGAACGCGCACATTAACGAGCTGATGAAGCAGCATGAGGCGGCCTTTGGTGAGATCAAGAACTACTACAACGACATCACCGCCAACAACCTCGACCTCATCAAGGTGCGATCTGAGGACTTACACGCGCGGTGGTGGTTTGCAGATTTGATCTGTCGAAAAGCGCGACGTGTGGAGGGAGGCACGTCTGTGGGCACATAAATGAGCGACGGCCTGGACGATTGGGGGTATCCGTCCTCATATTCGTTTAAACCCCCCGCATTGCAACCCCTGGCCTCCTGGACCCCTACGCACGCACCAGACTCCCGGCCTGCCCGCGCCCCCCGCCCCCCGACCCCGCACACATC